ACACACACACACACCACACACACCACACATATACCACACATATACCACACACACACACACACACCACACACACACACACACACACACACACACACACACACACTCATCAAAATGAAGTACGGCTGGCAAGATGGCTCAGAGCATAAAGGCATCTGCTGCATGAACTTCGTCCTAGAACCCACAGGTAGAAAACTGATGCCCAAAGGATTATCCTCTGATCTCCACAAGCGCACACACACAGGTAGAAAACTGATGCCCAAAGGATTATCCTCTGATCTCCACAAGCGCACACACACTGGATAAATTCAAATGTGACAAATAATAAAACAAATATCAACAGAAAACAAATTATCACAGTATGTTTAATAATAATATGCTATAGCTCTGTAAACAGATTTTTTTTTTTTAACTGCAATCACCACCCTGCTCACGAGCTCACCATCTTCCTGTTATGAAAATACAGGCCATGTTCACAAGCATCCCATCAACTTTAATGCTAGCTTTCCATTTCACACTGATCACTAAAATTAACAAGAAATTAAGAGTCTCCCGGCACATGTACATAAATAAAATTGCAGTTTGCAGCCTCCACACAAACTGGGCTTTTAACAAGGGGGTGACGACTTCGAGAAACACTGACAAGAAACAAGGAATTCTCACATGGCTCACTGCCGTGGCAGAGCAGGTGGGTTAGGCTGGGCGAAGGGAAAATATGAATTGCACAGTTTTTGAGACCATGGAGATAGCTCAGTAGGTAAGGTAAAGCGCCTGCTGAGCCAGCATGATGGCCTGAGTTGGAGCCCCCAGAGCCATATCTTACAAAAGAAGCCTAGCATGGTGGTATGCCCTTGTAACCCCAGTGCTCACGAGGCAAAGACAGGTAGACTCATGGGCTCGATGGCCAGCCAGACAAAAGGATTCCACAAGTTCCAAGTGTGTAAGATCCCATCTCCAAGAAAGAGGGAGGACATCTCCCAGGGAACAGCAGAGCCTCTCCTCTGACCCTCACATGCATGTGAACCTACACACACATACATGCATGCAGACACACACACACCCATACATACACCCACACCCACATATACACAGACACACCTATGCATGCACACACCTAGAAACACCCACACCCATACATATACTTCCCCCTACATAGACATGCCCATTAATACACACACATATATGCACGAACACTTTTTTTTGGAAATAGTTCCACATAATCCTTGCTTACTTTTTCGTACAGTCTTTGCTTGACCAGACACCATACTGGCGGCTTCAGAGGGCAGGCCAACATACACTCCTCCATAGTTTCTTTAAGAAAAAAATATCAGACCAATTTAAGGGGTGCTAAAAAAGAGAGAAGCATCAAAAATAAAGCATAGACCACTCCAAATAAGTATGATGAAGATAACTCATATCTTTTTGAAGATTCTTGTTTCTGTATGTTAGAAGGAAGCTTTGGGGAAAAATAGCTATGTTAAATCAGTAAAAGTTTAAATATTTTGCTTGTAATGAGAAGAAAAGAAGTAAGCTAAGTAAAATTAGCGATGTGTCAAATATGTGACAGGTGTCAATCACCCTATATGACAAATCTAGAGATCCCTGCGCTATCAGGTAATATGGAGATACAAAAACCACTTTCTCATAGGGAAAGATGAGTGTGATATAAGAGAGAAAGCCGAGGAGTGCAACACAGAATAGAATGGACCTGAGCAAGTGTGACAGGAACAAGAAGGGGGGCGATGAGGAAGGGAAGTCAGATCCAGGACAGGAGCACACAGGGCCACGTCCATAGGACAGAGCACAAGCCAGCATGGCTGCAGCCGAGATCCTCAGTCTGGGCTGATGTCTTTTCACATCCCTCGAAGCGTCCCACCTGATGGGATGTGTTACCACCCTGTGCTAGCGTGGGTCACACCCGTGCACCACGGCCAGACTCACTCACAGCTCACGTACCTCCTCTTCTCGTCTTCTGTTATCGAGTCTTCTGTTCTAAAAAGGCCAAAAACAATCGCCATGAGCCACTCAGCCGCACACCAGACCCTTCATCCGAGCTCACAAGCCAAGTTGGGGTGATGGTGCTCATGTTCCCCATTTATGCCCACAGTGCTCTGGCTGGCTCTGGCCACAAATGCTGGCCAGCCCAGCTGGCAAGCCAAATAGAGAACAGGGGCAGCCGAGACCGGAGGGGCCATGTGGGTTAATGGCAGAAAGGTGTCGCCCCACACCCCACCCCATGACTGACACTGACAAGTTGCCTGGAGGGCGGAGCAGGTGAGCCCTCAAACCCCTCCCAACACTCACTGGGGTATGGAGGGAGCCCTCCTGCCATTGGGAGCCCAACTGAGAATGGCAGAGGAGCTCTCATGAAAAAGAGTCGATGCCAATTTGACTTCCCTTTGCTACTTAACATGCATTCTACTACAAAGAGGAGGAAACATTCCAAAGAAACCCCTTAGGAGGTCTCTCTTCCTTAAACCTCACAGTGCGGGAGACATAGCTTAGTTGTTAAAGGGTTTGTGATGAGCGAGCAGTAAGACCCCAGTTTGGTCCACAGATGCCAGACATGACGGTGCATGCTTGTAACACCAGCAGTGGCACAGCAGAGGCAGCCCAACCTGAGGCGGTTGCTGGCCGACCAGCAATGCCACATTGCTAAGCCAAAGGCCAGTGACAGCCTGTCTCAGGAAACAAAATGGACACCTCCACTCAAGCACCTGAGCTTGACCTCTGACCTCATGCACACATGCACACACACTCACACAAATATACACATAGGTATACACACAATTGATTACACAGCATGATTGCATCCTGGGCTCAGTTCAATAAATAATATCTCAGGATTGATTTGACACCTGATGTTGGCATTACTTGAGCTCAAAAACCTGTAAAACAACACTTGATATATCCAATTTGATTTTTCCTTTGCCTGTATCCTATAAAACAACCCCTGAGCTGGATGTCAGGCTCTGGGTACTTTTAATAGACTCTTCCCTTGTGCAAAAGGAACGTACATCCCATGGAAATTCCTCAGCCTGTCTCTAAGAAGACACCATCCCAGGGCCCTGTTAGCACACATAGGTTGCTCCAAAGACAACGTGGAGGTCATCCAGAACAGTCCTCAGTCGGAAGACATACCAAACACCTCCAACACCCTCACTGACTCTTCTGATTCTAGGGGTGACCTCGCCGAGGTTTCACCACTTAGGACTTGAGTCAGCTTACACCGAAGCTGTGCACAGCCCTGTGATTTCCCTCGCTGTGAACCAACTTGACAGCGACCTGAGAGATGCTGCCCCAGAGCACGGTGACACTGAGATCAGGTGTGAAATCCATCCTGAGATGTCATTTCCCAAACCGAGCCCAGTATCTACACGGCACGCAGTCATGCGTTCCCTCGCCCGTGGGGAGGAGCCGAAGCCTTCTGTAACTGAGGAGGGTCAAGCACGCTGGGTTGGAAATGGAGCTGTGCACATTGCTGTGGCTTGCTGCAGTTTGGATCATCAGCATTCATACAGAGCAGGTGGGCCACAGTCCCAAGACTACACAGAAACACAGAACTTCCCCAGGCATCCTGGTGAGCAGGCAAGCTGGAATCAGAGGGAGACCCTGTGTTCAGTGAGAGACCCTGCTTCAAAAACATAAGGAGCAATAGAGAACTGACGTCATCTCTGAGCCTCTACATGCACACACACAAGATGCCCAGTCTTCTAAACTTTCAGATAAGCTATAAACTTTCAGAAGCCTGCTTTGCTATACACACCTCTATGTATGAGATCTCTACCTTATCCACTTTCTACAAGTAATTATTCTTAATTCTGATACTGGAGACATGGTCTTAAATAAAAGAAGGCCTCAGTGGGTTTGGGATTGAAACACAGTTAATAGAATGTTTGTCTGGTGTAGCCTAGGCCCAGGGCTCAATCCCTAGAACCACATAAATTGGGTGTGCTAGCACATATCTGAATCCTGGCACTCAAGGAAAAGGAGGATCAGGGGCATAATGTCATCCTTGGCTTTTAGTGAGCTTAAAGCAAGACTGGAATAGACACCATGTCTATCTCAAAATTTAAAACAAAACAAGTCATTATCAACTGGTCTGTGATGGCCATTGTTGGCTGTCAACTTGACTGTATCTGGAATGAACTACAATCCAGAAACTAAGGGCACACCTGTGGTCCAGATCTTGACACAGGAAGACACAGGCTTTTGATACAGATCTTGAGGCTGAAAGATGCACTGTTAATCTGGTCAGGCCTTCTGCTGGAAGCCTATATAAAGACACTGGGAAAAGGAGCTTTTGCTCTTTGCCTGCTGGCCCTCACCATTGCTAGCACATCCATTCCTTTACTGGCATTAGAGCCTGCTTCTTTGGGATTCCAGCGTGTACAGAAGACCAGATGAGACACTCAGCCTTGTGGGACTGACTAACTACTAGATTCTTTGACTTTCCGTTCACAGCTAGCCATTGTTGGATTAGTTGGACTGTAGCCTGTAAGCCATTCCAATAAAGCCCTTATGTTTGTGTGTGTGTGTGTGTTTGTGGAGAGAGAGAGAGAGAGAGAGAGAGGGAGGGAGGAGGGAGAGAGGGAAGGAGGGAGAAAGAGATAGAGAGACATCCATTCCCTAATTCTGTGTGTGACTCTAGAGAACACGGTCCCCTCCTGGGTATAGGTAAGGATGGGCCACATTAGTGTTCTCCCCAACAGCTCTGAGAGCTTCAGAAATCAGTGCAGAGAACCCTGGAATTCAAATACATTCTGGTGGACCCTCAAACTATGCTTCGCAGCCTTTTATTCAAGGAGAAAGAGAAAAACCCCAAACTAGCTCCGGCAAGAGACCACTGCGGTGGTTTCTCAGAGGTGAAGCTGCCTACACGCCAAGCTCAGGAAGGCACCAACCACCAGCCTCCCTCCCAGCCTGCCTCCCAGCCTGCCTCCCAGCTCAGCTGTCTACAAGCCAAGCTCAGGAAGGCACCAAGCACCAGCCTGCCTCCCATCCTGCCTCCCAGCCTGCCTCCCAGCTCAGCTGCCTACAAGCTGAGCTCAGGAAGGCACCAAGCACCAGCCTGCCTACCGACTCAGCTGCCTCATGAGGCTATTCCAGGCACCCTCATCCCAGTTCTTCCCAACAGTGCCAGCTTCCCTTTAAAGATGAAAAGCCGAGATGCTACAAGGCCTGCAGCACCCCCAAGGTTACAAGACAGAACAGAGCCAGAATTTGAAGCCGTCTGTGTAGTTCCACCTCCTGCTTGCAAACACAGTGACCCTGCTAATTTCTGTGAGAGAGGCCTGAGCAACCCCAGCCACAGCTCTTCTATCCCATTCAAGGGAAGGGGGAAGCAAGATGGCGGAAAATCCTGCCTGGGCAGTACTCACGTTAGAACAAGCCTCTAGCCGCTGCTGGGAGCCATCAATCTTAGCATTTTTTTTTTTTTTCAGCTGCCATATCACTCCATTTTCCCGGATTCAAGGGCTGCCCTGACCAGTAGTTACATTAGAATCTCCGGAAAACCAGGTCCAGACTGAGATCGAACAGAAGCAGCTGTTTGTTCTAGACAGACTCTACTCTGGGGAACGAAGTCCAAGCCATCATCTAGCTGCCAGCAGAGGCCAAGCACTGCCCTGACAATATGGAAGATTGTGCCTGCTGGGCTGGAGTGGATCTGCCAGCCACACGGGCCATGCGCAGGAAGAAAAAAGCTTTGGCAAGCTGAGGCAGGCCTGAAGATGTGGAGGCAAAGGCCCACCAGGCCAATGGGATTGCCTTACGGTGACCAGGCTTCAGGCCCCAGCGGAGGGTCTGTCTGCCCACAGTGTCTGTGTCCAGGACAACCAGGGTGTGGAAGAAACAAGTGAAGAGCCATCGATTAAGCTCACGGAGTAGGAGTGCAAAAGTCTGGATTTCCAGAAGCTACCTTGCTAGGCTGCCCTGGAGCGCCAGGTCACTGGAGTGTTTTTCTCACAGAAGCCCACCACATGTACACACACATGCACATAAGCACACAGATAGATATACATGGTATGTGTCATTTTCCAACAGAAGTCCTTCACACATGTACACATATGTGTGAATATATACACATGTATGTGTGTGTGGACAAACACATCCACACACAAAAACAAAGGTATACAAACATGCAAATACACATGCAAACACAAAAACAACACATACATACACAGGCACACAGGCACACATAAGAAACATAAGTGCACACAGAAACTAACATGCACACTCATGCCCACATGCATATATAAACATAAATGACACAAACATACACAAAAAAAGTATACAAAGAAATACCTATACTAAACACATATGGACATACACATGAACCTATATATACACGGTGCACTTACACAAACATGATTCCACTCATGTATAAGCATGTACACACAAAACACACGTTCAGGGCAAAAAACCACAAGAACACACAAATACGCACACGTATATACATGCATGTATACAAAAGCATGTATGTGCACCTACACTCAAAAGTACATACCTGCACACAAGAACAACCTTGCACACAAGAACACATGCACACATGGCTTCACACACACAAACACACACACAAAGATGCACAGGTGCACACACATTAAAGCACACATATACACATTCGTGTACAGAAACGTGTATGCACCAAAACACATGCATGTGTCCTGACAAATCCACACATACACACATGTGCTCAGATACAAGCACACACGCAGATTTGCATATAAGCATGCATTTATAAAAATACATACACACACAAACTCAAACATGCATGCACATAAAACACAACTACAAACAGATATATACACAATCACATTGCATGCACTTAAACACATGGACACAGATACATGCCCATACCTATATGCACAAACACACCTCCACACCTACACATTTCACAATTGCATATACATGTGCTCAAACACAAACATGTACACAAAGTATAAATGTGCAAATTGCTCACTTGCACATATATACAAATAATGTGCACACAC